AGATAGATAGATAGATAGATAGATAGATAGATAGATAGATAGATAGATAGATAGAGACTATCAATCATGATTGTCAATTTGTAAGTATAAACCAGGGGCGGCTCGAGGGGCTAAAAAGTGGGCGTGCACAATTAATTAAGCTATCACGGGCTGAAGATAGTCAAGGGCATAGTAAATGGGATGGTGTATAGTTTTAGGATCTTTGGGTTGGTGAGAGAGGAGCTCGTGCTCTTATTTTCATTCCTTTTACTTGTCGCTTTGATTTCTAGAACTAAATATCTTTGTTAACTAAACATCCTGCATTAGAACTGAACATTCAAGTAATAACGTTCACCACTCCTCAACAAAACCATTCAAAGACACAAATCATAGGACGGTGACTTGAGTATGTTACGTTCACCTTCCTCAGGTTCACGGTCACAGAGTCACTTAAAATAGCCTAGTGGCAAGACAATGAACTAATCAGAATTCACTTGAGCACTCTGATGGATTGCTCCGGGGCTCACATAATTTTGGCATAGAATAGTGTACAGTATAAGGCGTTTATTTTTAGACTGCCTTCTGTGGGCTATGTTTCGGCTCTATTCGACAGGAACACATTTGAGATGTCCCGACATATAAATATTAATGTACCGCCAAACTCGCTACGAGTGTCGTCATCGCCTGGGTTATCCCAAAGAGCGATTTATTGGTCAGGTTACCACTGTTGAATCTCCTATTACGTTTAGTTAGAGCGCGTAGGCTTTGGCATGGTAAAGTGCATGTAAATGTTTTTCGGAACTGTAGACATAGAAATGACTGTTACAGAGCCAGCAAGGCCCTTGTTTTGATATAATATTTGACTAGTGTTTGTTTCTGGCGTCTTTTATTTTATTATTGTGGGTACTTTGGGTAAAAGAACAATACAAAATTTGGGGCGTCACTGCACGACCGTGCTCTATGGACGAACCGCGCCTGGTGTGAACGTGCATTAGTGTAACGCCTCTATTGCAACCAAGCGTAGTTTAGTATAGAGTATAGATCTAGCGTTATATTTTTTGATGAAGAAAGGTTCAACAAACCATGACCGTTTCCCCAGCAAAGGAACACTACAGCGTTCACGGTGTGGAGAAAATCATGCAAGAACTGGTGTCCAATGGCCCAGTAGAGGGAGCTTTTGATGTGTACTCCGACTTCCTTTCTTACAAGTCAGGTGAGATCGGTGGTTAATTAAATCGAGCCGACAAGACCTTAGTTAATAATTCCTTTTCATTCTTATACCTCTAATCTCGAGATCATCTCAGTATCGTTCATTTTAATGAATGCCTATTTTCATTTTATTTTATGTTTGTTTTGTTTTAGTAGATCCACCCCTAACTATCTTTGATCGTATTTCATCTCTTCTCTAATGGTCTATGCATTGCAACATTGATTGTGAATTTAATTTGTATAATCCTCCTCTAAAGACATTAGTCGTATTTAAATTTCGTCTCTTCTCTACTGGTTTATCCATTGTAACTTATTCTTTTTTCACCATTGAATTCAGAAGACGTGACTTTGATTCCTTAATTGATTATCATAATATTTTTTTCTGCGTCTGTTACGTTTTCTAAACGTTCCTCGCCTTTCTTCCAAACCTCCGCCCTACCCCCACCTTTTCTCCTTTGCACCTCCTCTGGCCTCCAAACTCTTTCTGCAGCATTTCCACTGCAACTCCTTGGCTACTTTTTACTGCTGTCTTTCAGCCACACCCCTGGTCTTACGGTAAGCTTAGATAAAATCTATCACCTAGCCTTCTCGGACAAGGGCAGTAAATCTTTGAGGCCCTGTGTGTAAGTTGCGCAAGTTTTAAAGTTCCTTTTGGTTGTTCTAAAATTGATAAACGTAGGCTTCGACCGACACTCGGGCAAAATGCAAAAGTCCTACCAAACTGAAAATGCTTGATCTTAATGCGTACAGCGTGCTCATAATATAATATTATAACCGCATGCAGTTGCGAGCGCCGTAAAACATTTTCCAAATATTTTTTCTTCAAATGGTGCCAGGTGTCTACCGACACACAACGGGCTCCTACGAGGGTGGTCACGCCATCAAGATCCTGGGCTATGGGACGGAGAATGGTCAAGACTACTGGCTAGTGGCTAACTCTTGGAACGAGGATTGGGGAGACAAAGGTATGTATTCCCTGATGAGGTGAGGTGAGGTGAGATGAGGTGAGATGAGGTGGGGTGAGGTGAGGTGAGGTGAGGTGAGGTGGGATGGGTTGGGGTGGCATGAGATGGGATGGGAAGGCGTGGGAAAGGGTGGGTGGGTTGTGGTGAGGGGTGGGGTAAGATGTGGTGGGATAGGATGGGATGAGGTGAGGTGAGGTGAGGTGAGGTGAGGTGAGGTGAGGTGAGATGAAGTGAGGTGATGTGAGATGAGGTGGGATGGGTTGGGGTGGCATGAGGTGGGATGGGAAGGAGTGGGAACTGATGGGAAAGGGTAGGAAAGGGTGGAGTGGGGTGTGGTGGGATAGGATGGGGTTAAGTGAGGTGATGTGAGGTGAGGTGAGGTGAGGTGAGGTGAGATGAGATGGGATGGGTTGGGGTGGCATGAGATAGGATAGGAAGGGATGGGAAAGGGTGGGAAAGGGTGGGAAAGGGTAGGGTGTGGTGGGGTGGGCTAGGGTGTGGTGGGATAAGATGGGATTATGTGAGGTGAGGTGGGATGGGTTGTAGTTGCATGAGATGGGGTGGGAAGCGGTGGGAAAGTGTGGGAAAGGGTGGGATTGGGTGTGGTGGGGTGAGATGTGGAGAGGTGGGGTAGGGTGTGGTGGGATAAGATGGGATGGAGTGGGGGTGGGATAGGATAGGATTACGTGAGATAGGTGAGGTGAGGTGAAGTGAAGTGAGGTGAAGTGGGATGGGTTGTGGTGGCATGAGATGGGATGGGAAGGGGTGGGAAAGGTTGGGAAATGGTGGGAAAGGGTGGGATTGGGTGTGGTGGGTGGGGTATGGAGGGGTGGGGTAAGGTGAGGTGGGATAGGATGGGATTACGTGAGGTGAGGTGAGGTGAGGAGAGGTGAGGAGAGGAGAGGTGAGGTGAGGTGAGGTGGGGTGAGACGAGACGAGACGAGACGAGACGAGACGAGACAAGACAAGACGAGGTTAGACGAGATGAGACATTTTTTTCTTTGTAATCGGTTAAAAAAAATCACTTTGCTCTCTAGCTTCAGCATAAAGAAAAATTAGATATTCACACATTGAAAAGTTCCAATACACACACAAACACACACACAC